TGATATATTTTCATATTCTTTTTGTCCCTCGCAAATTTAAGTCCATTCATACATTTCTGAATGTTGTGAATTATTAAATAGAAGGCTATTTTTGTAGTAGTGAAAACACCGAGTCACAGGTAGATCAGCCCAAACCGTTCGTGTATTCATACTCGTAAACTCCTGGCGTTGTTAAAATATTACAGCACAGTATTTTCCCACTTCATAATAGTTACGTGAGTAGTTAATATTTCACGCGATTGATGCTGTGTAAGAAAACCTAACACTAGCAAAATTGCATATTCGGCGAGCCCCGGGCTTGGAACAAGCGAACTCACGCGGAGAATAAAATAAAGGTATAATTTTTAGCGCCAGTAAGACACGCAGTTGAACGCACTGGGACATGTTTGACTTAGCTGTACGCCGAAAGGTATGCAGAAATCGATCTCTCTGCGAATAAAATCGAAAATATTTGCAAAGCAAGTCTTATTTGCCTGACGGCATTTTAAATCTTTTTTCGAGCATAGCTCTGTGTGCAAGCACTGATCATAGTAATATGTGGCAGTGCGTCGTCTACCTGGCCTTGTTGTCAATAACGGTTTAGATCGACAAAATCAGTATCTGTTGCCATGACTACCAAAGCTCAGTCTCGAAGCTGGCGGACACAGATTGTTAAACTAAACGAATCACACTATACACATTGGAAATATTATTATAATTATCAACGCCCTAGGAATGAGAATTATATTTGCAATTCGTGTCGAAATTCACACAAATATACGTTGTGTGAGACAGCAGGTGAAACAATATTATTTGACCGTCTAAAATGCAATGCCTGGGAGGGTCTACACTTGCCTTCCCGCTATAAACGTTCGTTAAGCAGTAGAGCTTTAGCACAGCTGATTCCTCCGTCACTTTTACCCATAACACTCCGCGAGCAACGAAGACGAAGTGTTTCCGGTTGTGAAAATCATTATTTTCAAACGTCAGAAAAGAGTGCGGTCGCGAAGCAGTCAAATACCATGAAAGGCCAGTGGTTGTGAGATCCTTAAGCAACGAAGCATCGAGTCTTTTTTATTTAAACCGTTGCACGCAAGGCAATTTTCTGGTACTTACCAGAAATTCTTTCTAATCCAAGCATAAAATATATTTAAACCAGCGAATACTAAATTATCGGCGTACCTTTATATACTTCAACAGAGTGGCGTGTACAATATTCACTAGCAACGGTTCAATTCGTATACAATGATTGAATATTCCCGGAACTTAGTTCACAAGAAAGCCAAGATGGCGCCGCTCTAAAAATATCGATGATCGTCACCCACTGTCTAAGGGCTTTTATATATGATATGCTGCGAACGTATCCGGCAGTAAGGTCGCGTTTATTGGTTCTCTGTCTAACCAAATGTTCTCTATGAATATTGTATATTTTTACAATAATATTTTGAAAAAAATATCGAAAGATATGATAAGCGACCATTTAATCACAGAAAAACATTGTACAGTCTCGTTCCCAAACACTGTCCCGTGTTATTATTTGGAATTAACTTTCTATACCATTTGGGGTACATTGGTAACCCGAAATGCCACGACCCCTGGCCCACAACAATTTACGCCTCGTCTAGGGAGTCACATGACGACAGTGCGACACTTGTCACATTCTTTTTTTCTACACCTCGGGGAGGAGGTGGCTTAAAGAGGATGTTCGTTTGTAACATCCGCATATTGTTACAGTAGGTGGTCGTGATGAATTGATTCGTGATAATTCATCAAACATCGACTTGTCAGTCGAAAGAATATAAACATGCTCCGAGAAGGGAAATTGTTCAGCAGTATAGATGGATATAGGCCAAACGTTGAATGAGTGTGCTATGTACACGAAGTACGCTGCGTTACAAAGGCGTTTTCACTCGTCAACATTTTCTGTTGGCCTAGTAATCGCAACTGGATCCCCCTCGGCTTGCTCTCAGACGCCACGGAGTCTGCGACCCTCGCCGATCAAATATCTGCCCCTATAGTGTATAAGTGTAAGAATGAGGTATTTTGTTAGACTTTCCTGAATTGTTAAGTTTCAATGGAGCAGATACATTCAAAACACCCGAGAGAATTTATACATAGTAGTCTAGGAGCCGATGCCTGACAGACTTGCCTGTCACCGAATACATGTACGCGGCAAAATAATAGTACATTTCTGATATTAAAACACAACTATCGCGTATACCTGTGTGGTACTGTTGTGTCATCTGTCAGTGGGCGCGTTCATCGGCTTGACCCTTTGTCACTCACAAACTCATGGAGAGAAAGGATTTGCCGAATCCATGCCGAGCTGTTGCCGAACAGGTGCTGTCAGAATCCGATCAAGTACCGTCGCCGTTATTTATTGCAAGAAGTGAGTGAAATTTATAATGGTTGTCATTCGATAGGGTTTCCCCCGAGTTGTCAATCTCTGTTCCAATGATACGGCAGCCAGTGGCAGTTCGCGACACGATCCGGGGACACGGCACGTCTTGTTGCCTCTGCGGGAAGGAATGCACGGTTTTAGATCGTATTGCACTTCTCCGTCTAAAGTTTTGCTTTGCTTACAAGGGAGGTAGTTTTTTCACAGCGGGTCGTGATCATTGACAGCCTCCGGGATGAACGGTGCCGTTCTAATAACTGCTCTGTAAAATAAATTGTTTCGCTGCTTAAGTAAACAACTTTGTCTTTTTTCTTAAACTGTCCGTCATTCAAGTTTAAAACGCTTCCTGATCATTAACTTCGCATTATTTCCCAATGATATTTTTTCACACGACTTTTCGTCTTGTGGATTCCGAATTAAAACGTTAAATTTCTTGGCGAAAGTATACGCGATACTTGTCATGTAATTAAATTGGCGCATGTTGTTAGACAGTTAAAGTGTAATTACAGAGGCCCGTCTTGTTAATTAACAGGTAATACGCATGTATATTTCATTTTTCCCGCGAAACTTTAGTTTTGATTTTTTTCTTAACTATTTTTGTTAATATTTATTGGCTAACATTCTCATTACTATTCACGATCGTACATAAAAACTGTAATTTTAAAAATGAACAGATACATAGTTTGAAAGCACGAGCCACCTGTCAATGCCTGCACAAACTCAGTTGGACACAGTTTGCCATTTCGTAGTAATAAAAGTCACCGGGTTCGATTCGTCACTAGTCACTTGACAGTGGTCTTGTTTTTGTAAGACATCGTATATCACGCCATAGTAGTTGTACAGTTGACAAGCAATGATGGATGGTACTGGGCAAATATAAATACATTTTTAAAAAAATGAACTATTCAATTAATGCGGCATAGCGCGTGGCATCTCAACCAGCGACGGGTCACCAATTCCCAACTGTGCGATACCGCGGAGCTGACTTGTCCAGTCACGCCATGAAATGATGAAGTTCATTTCGCGCATCCTGAGTTGATGTATAGGCCGGCCTCGGTCTGATATGTTCGCGCCTTTTTCCTCTATGACAGACATGGTACATCCAGCTTAAAGGAGGAGAAAATCAAAACCCGGCATCTGGGCTAATTGAAGCTGTCAGTGGATTGACATCTGTCATTTAAGTTTTTGTCTGAAAATAATGTGGGCGGCCATGTAATTGGGCCGCCTGGTGTATATACATTGGCTGGCGATACCAAGGAGATTTCGGAAAGCCAGTCCAAATTCGATCACCCTGACTACGAGTCTTGATAGATCCAACGTAGGTTAAGTACGTTCGGGTTGCTAATGTGAGTCTTCGCATAAACATTCGCCCGCCCACAAAGTTGGAACGCGTTGAATCCAATACGAAACCTACAAACTGTGAAGGCGAACATTGACCGGTAGCTCGATATAGAAACAATGGCCAACCCAAGACAAACAGTTACCGATTCTTAATATCAACACACCTACTTTGTATTGCATTCAATTTATTTGTTACCATTGTTTTTTGAGTTGACATTGCGATTTTTTCGTTATATTTTGCTTCGGTATTAAGCCCGTTGCAGTTGAAAATTAATCAGGTGACTAACGGTAAGCAATCACATGTCGGAGATTGTCACACACGCACTGTTGTTTCAGCTGCTTTGCATAGGCCGTTGTGTTTGGTGAAACACGCCGCGCAGTCTGTGTTTGCGTTAGCTTTACTCCATACACGGTCCTCTGAAACAATGGTCGTTCTTTCACTGCATATTAAAATAGAAAATGCGGGGATCGAGAAACAAAACGTGTTTATGACAGTACGATGTTTGCGTGATATTGTTAAGAAATGGTAACTTGGTATCGGAGATATTGAATTGAAAACGTCCAGCTTGTTTATAACTGTATGGCTGGCCTGCTTTCATGTGATAGGTGTCCCGTTACGACAGTGTCCGACGGGCAAGGCAGGTGTGAATGCGTAACTACGTTTGGGTTTAACATTTAGGGCTTTGCGATCAGATCGGCCTGACGTACAATTTCTAATACGTGCCAATGGGGCGCCCCACAGTGGCTATTCTAATTTCCTCGTTTCGTTTGTTGAGTGATTCACACTGTCAGATTGTTCTATTGTTAAACACATGACAGTCCGACAGGTTTTCAGAAACTACGAAAACACAGAACAGTAGCCGCGTTTCCAGTTATTCAAAACAGAAGCAGTGACAATTGGTGGCGTAAACAAGAACAATTTGCGTCGCCTTACAATACAAAAAAAAATATTCTCGTAACAATCGCCAATGACGATATTTGTTTCATCAAACCATACTTGTTGGATGGCAAGTTATGACGAATGCACGTACGTTTTAATAAAGCTATTTAATTGAAAGGCTAAATTCTAATGAATGAATTTTGATGAAAATCGTATCTCATCGAGCCGGGGTCATGTAATTTGACAAACAAACAAAGAACAACCAATACAATGAAAGAACACATCCCACTCCAGCCACGTGATTCACACGGATGACGGCAACCAATCAGCGTCACCGCCCTTCGAGATCGGAATTTTTTGAAGTATTTTTGTCAGCTGGCCACATGAGTTGTGGTAGAGTCGGACCACCCAATCTGACATCGCAGCATCGGAGGAGTAGAGTGTGTTGTGAAGAACCACGGAATTTTACTTGGCGAGATGATGGGTGATTCGAATCCAAAGAGTACGTACAACGTTGATCTGCGCGTTTCCGCCTAGCTCACTCACTACGCAGTGTTTTTGTTTCGACCTGCCCATGTGTAAGCGGCACACAGTGACAATCGCTCGCAACGAAGTCAGCTTAACGCTATACACTGTTTATACCCCGAACGCATATACCGGTCTGGTTCTAGTAAAACTCGTCGCAGTTTTGTTTATTTATTTGTTTTCTTGTGTCTCATGATTATTTTTATTTCACAGAGAAGCGAAGAGTCTCATTGTGTGTTGGGTGCGGGAACCAGATTCAAGATCAATTTATCCTACGAGTAGCACCGGACCTGGAGTGGCACGCGTCGTGTTTAAAGTGCACGGACTGCAACCAGTACCTTGATGAGACGTGTACGTGTTTCGTGAGAGACAGCAAAACCTATTGCAAACGTTGTTACGTCCGGTAAGTGTTTAAGGTTCCCTTCGTTCACCGTTACTTTATTCCCACCGCCTGATCATAGCGATCGGTCCGAAATTAATTCGTTTTGATCACTACCGCCTACCAACCTTGGTTTGTTTTGACGCACTGTATATACAGGTCCGCGTGAACAGAATGTGTCCACATTGCCTTCATCATTTTTTGAATATTGATATTAAAAATATATATCTAGTTTATTTTGTATTTTATTATTGGCTTGTTTAAACGTGTAAATACAGAGTCACAAGGTACCATAACAATTCGTTATATCTATATTATAACGCATGTGTTAAAAGCCTCGCCTGTCGCGCTGTTTGGTTTCTTAGCATACTATACGCCGAGTATTTTGATCAGGTTTGTGCAAACATCGCTCAGTGACGTGCGGTTCCAATAAAATTATTCCGCATTTCCCCCTCTCCCCGAGTGACGTTGAATTTACCATGCCCAAATGGGTTGCTATCGTTAGCGAATTAGGCCTAATTTAAGTGTGCGAGCAGTGACCTAGTGTTATTTCATTTTGTCGTAATTGATTCATGTGTATATTCTCTCTAATTCCTTCCATATGCAGGCTATTTGGGACCAAGTGTGCAAAATGCAACCTGGGCTTCAGTAAAAATGACTTCGTTATGCGAGCTAGGAACAAAATCTTCCATATAGACTGTTTTCGCTGCGTGGCTTGTAGTCGACAGCTCATTCCAGGGGACGAATTCGCCCTCAGAGACGACGGACTGTTTTGTAAAGCAGACCATGACGTTGTCGAGCGTGCGTCGGGGGAAGTTAATGGGAATAATAATAATAACAATAACCACCGCACATACATGGCAAGTAAGTTTTCACAATTTTTCTTATTAAATCTTGGATGTAACTATGTTTTATTTTTTTAAGTTTGTTATATGCAAAGTACGGTTATATATCGTAGGAACACCAAAATAATAGTACTACTGATAATTCAAAAACCTTGGATACATACTTGATTTGAAATTAACAAAACCAGGTATTATTTTGACAAATTGCTTGGATATCTCAACGGGAGTTATTTGCTCATGTTTGTGACCGAACAGCCCTCAAAATGGACGACACACAGGGATTATTTGCTACGCTTGCGGCTGCCCCATTGTCCATGTCTTTGTGGTGATTCAACAATCTGGCGCCGTTGAAATACATCTCATAGGCCGAATAAAATATATTTCTTCTCTTTTTTTTCTAATATCACCTGCACTAATTTCACCCGCCGAGCAATATGAGAGGTCGCGTAATAACCGTTTTCTCCCAAACTAAACTTATCGTTCATACTGGTCCCGTTTTCTCGAAACTATAAGTTACTCAGGCTCTCTGCTGTTCATTTCGTAGGAAATATTGTGTTCGCACAATTTGACTTTTACGCAGTTGGAAGCTTTTGTTCTCTGGAAACGAGTTCCCACAACGGGATACGCAAAGTTCGTGTATGTTTTAAGCATCGATATATCTCCCTATCGCAGCGGTGATCTCCCGTATTACGTGCCCAGTGAATAGAGTGCAATACTCGATGCTTTAAAAAAAGCTCATTGATAAAACGGAGTATTATGGATTCACAAAAAACGTTATTATTATAACAGCCGGGCTGATTACATCAAGACCTAAAAATGCTTCAATACTCCCTGTTTTGACTATTTATAAGTATCTTCGTTGATAAGCCTGCTGTTGTCGAGTCTTGCCAATCCAGGAAGACCCACAAGTGTTCGACCTGTCAAAATTGGACCAAACGTTATTTGGACTGAAAACAATCTCTCTTTCTTCCTTTGTATGGCACGGGATGTGTCTTTTATCTATCCGGTGATACATAAAAGCAATTCATTAATCTTTTAAGTGTCTTTGCGATTTTCCAATTGTCTGTTTGAATGGTGTGGTGTAAATCTGAAAGTGTCATCCCTTCTGGTATTACTCCGGATTGTTGGATATCGTACATTACGTATTGCGGTCTATTCATGTGTGAATAGTCTTAAAACCATTTCATTGCAACAGAATACGTGAATCTTCGTCAGGAATAATATTCGTTATTAAATACATTTTTCAATGTCTAATTTTTCCCCTTCTCTCCCCTCCCTCACCAAACCTGAAGGCCATGCGGAACCAATGAACAACAACCGTAGCGGTTCTCTACGTCCACACGTACACAAGCAAGAGACACACCACAAAACAACGAGGGTTCGAACGGTGCTCAACGAAAAACAACTTCACACTTTGCGGACATGTTACAATGCAAACCCTCGGCCGGACGCTCTAATGAAGGAACAGCTAACTGAAATGACCAATCTTAGTCCACGGGTTATCAGAGTGTGGTTTCAGAATAAACGTTGCAAGGACAAAAAAAGAAGCCAGGCGATGAAGCTTATGCAGGAACAACAACAAAATAAGGTAAGCGCTCGAGCGTTGGTGTTGTTCTCCCCGTTGACGCACATGTGTGATCCACGCTCACAGAATGCTTTATTGCGTAGCTTAACGGTCAGGTGCGGTGATAATCCTTTGAAATCGTTCGTTTATTCGTGAATTCGAAGACGCCCCTCACATGGTTGTAAATAGTCTCGCGAGGAGACAAATACTAATATATGCTACTATTATTATTGTCTTCATAAATATTATACTTAACGGTTCGATGGTACTGCCCAACCATGGATAGCATATATTGAACTAGTATCGTATTTGTTGTCATCACACGGAGCTGCCAACATACCCTCCCTTAATTTTCTTCTCACTGTTCACTGATCGGATCTTGTAACAACACATTCCGTCATGGCCCACTGGGAAATAGATTATACATTTATAAACAGGTATGTAGGGTAAAAAGAAGAAAATAAAACGTGTATAAATGTTCGTGTATGCATAATTTCTGTGATACAACTTGAAGACTAATTTACCGGCCAACCTAAGTTAAACGGGATGGGGTGTGATTTTTTCAGGGGAAAACGTAATGGCGGATAGAAATAATATTTTGTCTACAAAAACGACGCAGTTAATATTATATTTTTCCGTATGAGTTTTACAGTTTACTGTGTAGCATGCGCCTTCATTGTCAAGGTTTAGGTCAAACAGAAGTGTTAATTCGTAGTGTGGAGGGTTCCCTGTAACAGCCTTCAGTTATGTGTAAAATAGCCCTGTATTTATATTTTTGAAGCAAATGCCTGTATCGTAAGTATTAATATCATATATAAGCGTACACTGTTTTATATACAAGTAAACATAACTGACTGTTGGTAGGAATTCGCCATGTGATTAAATATCATCTTGCCCATCTGCAGAAGATGGTTCATAACAGGAATTCCACACTGATGTTAATTATTAAAAAGGCATACTTGTTAATTGTGAAAACCATTAATATTATAAAAAAATACTCTAAAAATCTATTGACTTTTCGCAACACAATTCTACCAACATCCGTGGTAGCCTGATCTCAAAACAATTATCATCATGGAAAGAAAATATTGCTGTTTTTTCGGGGGGGGGGTATTTTTTTAAAGTTGTAAACCACGCACATGTATACGGTGTGTTCACCTCCTCACAGCATGTGATAGCTATTAACTGAATGATTCCCAAGTCAAGATTGGCATCGCTCATTATCATTTTAGGGGGTGTCGTGTATGATATATACAGGCGTTTGAAACCAATCCTCTACAATTATGTTCAAATCTATATTTGGTTAATTATTGTCAGACTGATAAATATTTTTCGTTTAAACTATTAAGGTGGCCTAATTTAGCTAATTATTCATATATTATTTGTTTAATATTGAATAGTACTAGGTGATATTTAGAATATTGATATTCTTAATTGTATTTTGAAATTTCATTCAATTTATTTGGTTATTTTCCAGAAATAATGATTTTTGGTTGAGATGATATTACTCAACTCGATCATGCATGTGTCCATATAGTCTATGATGTGTTCGTTCGTAGATAACTTTAATTGCTCTCTCGCATTGACCCTTGACCCCACACAACTTACAAGTTTCTTCGTGTCCGTCATTCATGGAATAGAATCAATTTGCTTGAGGATTATAAGATCGGGTTGAAGGGCGAATCTTGATAATGTTGCTGGCTGTCACGCTCAGCTGTCGATATAGTGAGCAATGGTAGCCTTATTGCCATGTAATCTGACTGCCCTATCTGACGTTTTGTTGTTAGGGGAATTGGTGGAATTCCCCCTAGAAGAAAACAATGGAGTTTAGAACACATCCCCCGATGAGATCACCAATTATGAACTGCATTATCATCTTTATATACGCTATCGAGTTAAAACGTCCGGGCCCAGGATTCTCAACACACTGTATGAGGCATATATATGTAATATAGTCCTCGTAAATCCATCCCACATAGCCTCCCAGCCGTATTTTGCGTTGTTCTCTCGTTATCAATTTACCTACTTCTTCAAATTTTATTTGTTATTACGCAAATGACTAGTTGGTGACTAGAAGCAATAAATATGGTTATTGTGAACGCTGGGTGTCGTGGAGGCCTGGTGGCAAGGTGACAGGTCATCGCGACTTGTGGTCCTCAGTCTGATCATTTAAAAACGATCTTACAACTGCAGTGAGCGCTTGTTCTGTGTAGCACTTCTGGACTTAGTGATGTGTATTTTAGATATGGTTGTATTTGTATGGGGGTTGGGCAGAGAGCTGACTTATCGGTCAAATCCCTGCACTACATAAATATTCGTATCTTCGAATCGTTTTATAATGAGGTCCAAACGTGCATTTCGGGGTCTTTTTGGACACAGTTGTACAAATAATTTGTCAACTGCTGTTTGCTTTTCCGGAAGAGCCCCAAATGTTCTGACTGCATGTATGCATACATACACACACATACACACTGCACAGAGCAGTGTCCCCTACAATTCGCTAAAGATGGTTATGCATACACTGGGCGACAGCTGACGGTGAAGGAAGGTCAACTTAGAGCGACCCTCTCCGCTAATCGCACTGTTTGCCGTGAAAAGGTTTGACGAAAATACTGTTTGCTACCTGGGGCAGAATTTACTATTACTACACACAGCACCAGCTGAGCTTTTTAGATTTTACTTTTTAGCTAACGTTATGCTCGCCAGTTTTCTACACTTAGCAACCCATTGTCACCACACTTGAGAACGTTTTTCGTTTATTTGCACTAACTGCCCTTCACTGGCAATACGACGTACTCCAAGTGTGATGTTTTTTTGTTGATTACCCGTGCAAACTTATTTCTGCAAACTGAGCTTAGGTTACCCCCACGTGCTTGGCGAGGCTAACGAGGTGGAAAAACACACCTGAATCTCTTCGCCAACAGCTTTCCATAAACGTCCAACAAGTAAATGGTTTTTAAAATGGCCTCCAACTTGTCAAGAGTTTGTCTGATTTTCGTAAACACGATAGGCAACACGTGTTATAACGGCATACACATACAAGTGCAGAGTAGGTGACTGTATGTTTATTACACGTCTCAACTTTCCCCCAATGTCCCCTGTGCTACGCCGGTCTAATTCGACCACTCACTGCACTCCAAATGTGTGTTTTATAACCAGGTGTTCCATTTCAAGCAAAGCGACGTATTTAAAAGACACACTCAGTTCAACGAGGGGGGTGTTCCTTTTAAGTCGCCCGGGTTGACACCGTAGATGTTTTGTAATTTTATTTTAGTATTGAAAATCAAGGCATAGTTATTTAACGATGAACATTTATCCAGTCCAGCTAAACTTTATTATGTGGCAAATACTTATAATACCTTTGTTATAATTATCACAGCTATTGAGTTGACTGTTTCAAACTCGTTTTGTTTTTAATTTATCAGAGTGGATCTTGTATCGATCGCAATATCGACAATTGCATTCATTTGAGTTTTGAATAACTCTCCAAAACGATCATGTTTGTTGATTATGCTGGGGGTGTTGTCAACTGAGACGCTGCAATTGTGATTCGTTATGAAATGAAATTATAACATTCGCTTGTGTAATTTTATTGCGATCTCGATTCTTTATAGAATAACCAACGGGTGCAAGGTTTCCAGGGTGTTCCGATGGTAGCATCAAGCCCGGTGCGGCACGAGGGTAACATGCAGGCGAATCCAGTGGAAGTTACCAGTTACCAACAACAACCACCCGCATGGCAAGCGCTTAGTGATTTCGCATTGAAAAGTGATATAGAACAACCGGCGTTTCAACAGTTGGTAAGTTTACGTCAATTTTATCAAGAAATCGCTGAATTATTTTGAATGACCAGTAAATCCACTGGCCACAAGTTATGCTACTTACTTGCCGGAGTAGTAATGTATTAGGCAAAGTATGTCCTTCCAAAATTAGAGACGCAAACTATCCCTATTATTATTGTTATTAAATCAACGCGTGTACGATGCGATAGCACCTTTTATGGCTTTGAGATTAAACACATTATATAAATTTCGAAATCATCAAATCGCACACAGATTTCTCAGACACGTATAAAGCACGTAAGCCCATACAATTCTACTATGCTTGGATAAAAACATTTGACTGTCATTCTATCGGCGCCATATTCCAGTTCATCTCGTATAAGCCGCATTTTCAACGCAAAACCCTAAGACTGGTTTTGTCACACAATACCAAAACATTTCGAGCCAGGAGAAGAACTAATCCGAAATTGATAAAAATTACACTCCGGTAAACTCTCAAGCTTCTTGCTCGTTTTTTCCAATCATCCCCCTTTGCAGACGATTATACGGTGTCACCCTAATTCAGTTATTACATAGAACGCACAATAGATGTACTTAGATCTAGAATGCTTGGCGCTTGATGATATTTAACAAATTCCGGAATATCCCTTTCCTAGCATACATCGCGTTTTATATAGGCGCAAATCCGTTTAAAATCATAGAGAAAACTTTAATTTCCAGCAACGTACTGATCGCCCCTTGGTTGGGAGAAATTATCTCTACTAAGCTCTTGCAAGCCGGCTCGGGGTATTAGTGAATACTATCTGCAGCAGATATAGCGGAGATTGCTAAAAACTTGGCGCGAATAGTGATTAAGCCTATTATATGTTTGCTAGACGTGATTGGAAGAAATAACAGCTTCTCGGAGACCTACAATTGGGGGGATGATTGGTTAAATATGTTTTAGAATGGAGTGAATGTCATCTGCTAGGAACTTCCTGTTGGTCGAAAACGCAAATAACCAGTTGAAATCCACGTGTTTCATTTATATAATAGTGTATCTAAAAATGAACAACCTAGATCTTATTTTGAAGTTTTAATCTTTTTTGGCGAATACAAATTCAGTCTTGTTGTGGCGTCTCGCTTATGTCTTATTTAGTTTTACTTCTACACACTACACACAGTGTGTTCCAGTGCCCTGAGGGGTTTGACGAATACACTGACCATGGTCATCTGAGTTTTCCGGCCGCTGTATTTATCATATACCACACTGATGATTGATTCCGAATCGTCACTCTAATAATAATTTTGTATTGAACAATTTTAAATGTTGTATAATATATTTCGAGTAAGAATATTAATAATATGTCACTATTAATATTTTTCTCACTGGCGAGTCCATGATATTATACAACCATTATTGTAATACAAGAGTAGAACTTATTGTATTCATGATTGTTTCGGACTTATTTTTATGTAAAAAAAAATTGTTTTGTTTTTTTAATTCAAATCATCTGTCTACCAGAAAATGCGACGTTCCTTTCCCCTGGCAACTTGAAAACAAACTCCAATTCAAATAAATATAAAAACCCGCCATTTTGATGCTGTGGTTTTCCGGCAACATCTTTGGAAATTTCCAGTTAGAGCGTATTTCCCTGTGGTTTTCTTTTCCTTATTCCCAACATTCAGTGGTTTTCCTCTAGTTCCCAAACCACACTACTGACAGAGCGTGGCATGGAATACAAAATCCGCCAAGCATTATCGCAAGATAATGACCGGGATTCTAGCAATGAGGATAAAAACCCCAAGTGACTTGACACAAATTACAAGTTTGTATTTCCTCCCACGAACAGTGTTACTTGTTTATGATGTTATTTTTTTAATTTCGTTCCTCGTGTGCACATTATTTACATTTGTCATGTGTATCACGTGAGTCCAATTAAAAAGTATGCAATATATCGAAACATCCCCCTGCCATCCTCGAACTTCAGTCAACTTAACACTGAGCAGACATGGTGTATATGCGTAGGATGGGAGACCGATTTTCTGTGGGAACCTGTCTGTTGGAAAATGTGACTCTCTGTAGAGTTAAAGGTTATTCTATATACGGACGCAAGTAGGCGTGCATCGATTTTTTACGAGAACTAATCGTTCATGACGAAGCCGCTGCAATAACGCGGCTCTGGGGCTGTAATATTGGATTGTTATCTTGACTAAAATCTATTAACATTTTATTTTGGTATTTGCAGGTGAATTTCTCTGAACAAAATCCACAAGGACCAAATCATGAGAATACTCTTACACCCCCACCCGAGGACTCCTTGTCTAGCATGGAGGGGAACCCCCCTCCACAAACTGTTTCTGCGGGGAGCGATTGACAACCACCTTGCTCTGTGGGATTAAGTGTGCCATGCTACCACTCTCCGCGTCTCGTGAAAGGAATTAGCTGAAATGCAATGCATTCACCATACCGTACTTCAATGCCGGACTTGGGAAATTCGCCGCCCGTCTGCTCGTCGCCAATGGACCATAACTCGCCAGAACTGCCAGGACGTAAGCTGGGACTTTTCTCATTTTAACACAACATCTTTATAACACATTATTTTTCATTAAAAAAAAACTCCCACATGTTAACGTTGGTGATAAGCGACAATAAGGACGATGACGCGAAAGCAGGTCGGGTCTGACGGTTTTAGAAGCAACTGAGCCTTTTATACCCCTTCAATGACAAAGGGTTCTCTGAGGAACGCATTTTATTGCTACCATCTATCGCAAGAAATCACGATCCGGAATCACATGGATAGAACGCATTTAACCCTGGGTGCGACTATAAACCCAGCTTGGTGGTGTCAATTAGACATCTGGGGTTGGGAAGATTCCATTTAATAGTATGTACTGTAGAGTTAGTGGTTATATCCAACGAGTATACTGGCAACTGGAGGCCAGACAAAAATCGACTTCTGAAACTGTCCTGCCAGTTTCCAAAACCCAATGGCTCATCCATTCTACATCGTGGTGGTTCGGGGAGGCAATCCATCACTGTATTTACTCTCTGTGTTTGGGCTGTCTTTGCATGCCTGTATGACCGACAACGTCCCAAACAACCTCAGACGAACAAAGTATATATAAAATGTCGGAATACTAACAAGCTATGGTGTAACTGAAAACCCGTAGTGATATTAGTAGACCATAGACTAGGAGGCCTCGAGGCGCAGGCAGCCACATTGGTAGGTGGACAACCGTTTATGTGACTGAAAAGGAAAGTGGGAAAATAATTTAGTAGCGATATATCCAGTGTTTGCGTTCATCCAAATGCAATATTTAGAATGAAAATAGGAAGACAAACAAAACTTGATGCAAACTGCTGGTATATCAATATTGGTGTTCTGCCCTTTACCTGGAATGGACTGCCCTGAGGACTCGGTTTTATCGAATTTTCTCAGCGTTTTGCAACTATATTGTCCCTATTCTTTGAAATTTGGAATCGCACAACCAACTAGTTACTGTTACATTTTATATTATTTATAATATGGACACGTCACAGAGAGACGCTTATTGTGGCAGTGCTGTTATATTTTATTCAAAAAACCACTGCACCGGACGTAAGACATGTTTAGATGATGAAAGTTACGTTTTTTTATATAAAACTATTAACTCACTTTGGGTGGGGTGAGAAACATTGAGGCAGATGATACAAGAATGTAACAACTCTTTTTGTAATGAAGATAATAATTATCAGGAGCAATCTTCTCCAACCTTTAAAAATAAATACAAATATATTGTGAAACCGGAATACGACGAAGTGTGGTCTTATTTTTTTGTCTCAACATGGTTACTTGTTTTGCTTGTTTTGGGTAGTCGTTCGTTCATTAAAGACGACTGTCCAAAGTCTTTTCATAGCGTCACTATGTAATTAAGCCTACCAGTACAAGAATAATTGCATCGATTGCTCATCGCTTTCATGCCATTCCAGCTCTTTTTCAACTCTGTTACCCACATTGTTTTAACATTTATCGTTAATTGGCCGTTGTTTAACAATTTTAGAATCGTCGATAAAACAAACTTCATCACGGCGTTTGTGTTCGAGTACCATATGCCATTGCTAAAGTAGTTTTACTTACTGATTCCCCGCATTTTTATTCATATAATTGAAATTAATTGACCCAATTTATATGAATTTTTCTTTTAGTTACGTTTTCTTTACAAACGCTAGTTTTGCCAGATACATGTACCATTTTCTCCTTGCCGCCAAGGTTTGACAATTGCAGGCTGACCTATAATCAGTTGCAGTTGGGCGTCTAACTGTCTTCCCGTCTGGCCCATTTCAAAGACGGCTGAAATTAGTCGGGAAACGTCAGTTTCTGAAAGCTCCTGAATACTCATTTTTAAGTTGTGCATTTTTTTTTCTTTCCGACGCCTGATTCGACTTTGTCGAATTGCTTGTCGGAGTCACACTATTCAGCACGAATTGTATAGGTAATTAACTGCACCCGCTCCGCCCTTATTTTCTTGCCAAATCCCTCCAACTTGTTTAATGTTTAGTCCGATGTCTCGTTGAAAGGCATCGAGACCTTCGCGTCGATAGCGTGAGACTTAATTAGATTGTTAATGAGCGGTAATATATACAATTGGACAATAGCTGCTAATTGGCGAGCGTGTCGTCACTGACCAAACAAAACTACCGCCCACACATCTAACCATACGGTCAAGAGCGACTATCTGGTCGGCTATTATCGTCTCTTAGCTCAATAGAATAGGTAAAATACGAGGGACACTTTTCCCCTGAGAAGAATGCCGTCCTATTATTATCCCGTAATTATAAAAGTTGCACCCAAGACTGGGGCCGTAAACAGTCCTGTCGCTGGGAATGGTCACTGGGGCATGCCACGTAGTTAGTATTCTGTTTGGGTGTTGAATTTCCCCAGTTGTGTTGGTGGTCTCTGTGACTGACATTTAGCTTATACTGGTCTATGTGACATATTCTCGACGAGATTCCCTACAAGTCACAGCACACCAACGTCTCACTATGATTGTGGCCAAATATCGAGTGTGCCTGTCTGTTGGAAAATTTAGTGTTCGGCGTATTGCTCGGCAATATATGAGATAGATTGGTCACTCCAGGCGGCCACTCCCCGCAAATTTACACCTCAAATGAAGCTCTCTGTGCGGCATGTTATACTAGTCTTCCAAAAACTTTAACCTGCTGTGCGTATTGTAAAACACCTTTGTCTCGACGAGTGGAAAACTCTGTACGTGAATAAGGAAAGGGTCTCTTTGATCGCTTCTACTTCTGATTGATCTTATTATACCCCCAAAGATTGATTCACATATCTCTATTCATGCCGTGTTTGTCGGCTTTTTACCCTTTCAAAAGATTCTACCTGAACAGTGTTGCAAACCCCCTTATCACCAAACCGAGGCAGTCAGTCAGAAAAACGGCGTTTTTTGTATGTGCATAGTTCGATCGTTTGACAGGGACCGGTAGGAGAAAGCATTGGGTAATCCAATACGGGTTTTATCTCCACTGCTGTACATGTTGTTCATTGTAGTGTTAGAACCGCCGCGATTCATTCCCCAAATGATACTGTACCCCCAGAATGTCTGAAGTTGGTGTCTGCCAGTGCTTTGTTTCGTTTAGCTTTCACAATTCTCCAATCTCAGGACTAAAATAAACAGATAACAAAAACGAGAATTTCGCATTATTTATCACCAACGTTGTATTAAGTAAAACTAAAAGTGTCCATTTTTATTTATACCGTACACCATTACCCTTAATTTCCTTTTCCATTACCAAATATGGGGGGAGGAGCCAAGCATAATCAAATTAGAACTCCGGCAAAATATTGCTTCTCCCATAAGCATGTTTTACTCAACATCTGAACCCAGTTATAGTAGCTTTTATGACAACTTCCATTGTGTCCATCGAAACCATGGAAACGAGACGTAAAAGCCCACTAGTAGATAATTCATTTTTGCTCATTTTTCTATATGTCAGAATTTGTCATGAATGTGTTTCAACTTAACATGGTTCAAAGTGATAACAGAAAACATGGAACGCAAACAAAATGTAATCGACAATAGATGACGGGGGACAATCACCAAAGGGCCAATATGCTTTTATATTAATTTTCATAAGTGTCTAAATTACGCCAACAGTACGTGCTGACAGAGCCTCATTCACAAAGCCAGAGTTATTGTGTGTTATAATTCGGTAAATGGTATCACCATAAAATAAAATGAAAAAGAAAATCTTTGCTGGCATGGTTGTATGTAATGAAAGAAGGTCAATTTTAATTTGACCGCGAGTTTCTGTTTTCCGCCTTTCTGCTGAATCAATATCCAAATTTGTTTGTATTTAACTTTCACAGACACGCGCTGAATTGATATTCCATCGTTTAGCTCAATATCTAGCGTTATATTTCAAGTAAGAATTTCAATGTTATGTTTCATTATCGGATTAGTGTCAAACGAATATATTTTTTTCTGTGATAATAGTAATCTAAGCAATTCGAGTCACTGCATAGTTTCAGTTATCCCTATCTTACTTTTGACTGATTAGTGCGTCAGAAAAACACACTTCTGGAATCTATGTTAGCAATTTATGCACATAGGTTGTTCTCGGCCTCTGAGACTGGGTATTTTTGGCAAGAGAACCAGACATGACGGAGCGCAGTAAACTCCCCTGTGACAATTGGAACGCACGCACACGCTCTGAGAATGGCGCGGTGATAAAGGCAATTGTTCGGAGATCTGTGATTTGCCCCGACTTCAAGTTGCCCATGGCTAACTAACGATTCTTTCTATTATGTTAGATTGAATTATATGTAATTTTAACTCAAAAGAGAACCAATATTAAACTTTCCAGCTACTTGACTGTTTTTTTTTTTTTTGCCATTCACTGATCGATATCGTCAAGTAAATTGTTGCTTAGTGATGGATTGATGATATGATGCGGCATTATATCAACACGATTTAGTTATAACCGAAATTCACGTATTGTGAACTCAAAGTAGCATTTTGAGCAAACATACCTGTTTCCATGCAGTTTATGTTTTTGTATTTATTTTTTATAAATGTAATGAAATTGTCCTACTTTCTGTGAGCAACGTTTGCAGAACCAAATAACAAAACAGAAACTGAAAGATTAATAACGGTATACGTTCGACAATATAGATTTGTGTTGTGCTCGTCTCATTCAGTCTATGAGTTGCTAGTCACGTGACTAAATGTCAAAGTTTAGTGGGAAATAGAGAAATTTGTTTCATTTCCCGCGTAAAATATATTTTGGGTTATGTTTTTTTAAAGGAATAATCGTTATAGACGTTATCGTGGATATCAGTGTTCGAAAGAAGTTAATTATACGAGAATTGTAGAAAGAAATGAACATTTTCTATTGAGAACTCTATTTGACTGATTACTGTTGCCATAGAAATGTTACGCATTCGTTATTGAACAGATCGGTAACGAGAAATTGATTCCATTCACAAATTTACTAAAGGACACTCATCTTGTCCGCACATTTATTTCTTCAACTTTGATTGAAACTTTCAACATCTTTTATAATGCCGTGGGTATGTGTAATAATTTCCCCCTAATACACTATTAATTTAATTTACTCGGCACATGTTTTACCAATAGATATTCCTCTACTGTATTTAAAATGTTTAGTGTGTATGAAAAATCGCCGTCACTTGATATCATGACTGCTATAGTAGTCCGTGGTAGCTGGGGTAATCCTGTTTAGTTTCCGTGGGAGTAACACACATTTTCTTGTCAACTGGTTAGTGATATACGAGCTCGGAGACATTGAATCACTGCTATGCACAGCGTGATGCTCTGATCACCGGTATTCTGCAATTCGTTTCGCTGTGGTTGTAAATGCGAACCAAGCTGTCGCGGCATACGCGCTGTTGTTGGCTAATCATTGACCGGTTACGTAACTACTGGATATAGCCAAGGGTCGAGAACTCTGTGGTGAGTTTGTGGACCCGTATCGACAAACCAATTTCATTCTCTCAGTTACGCTTAATGAACAAATATTGAAATCGCGTGTTTTTGTTATTCGTGGATTTGTATATAATTTCAGTGGGTACATGCTGTTTGTGGTTGCCGCAGTAGACACCTCAATGTGACATGAAAAGGCTAACCAAGCTTCCGACTGGCCGGAGTCTCGCTGTTAGCACCTTTTTTTCTTAGATCCTTTATCAACTAATTATTCACAGCCACCAATGTTACTTCATTCATGAAAACGCAATCTTTTGTTTAGTAGAATTCTCGTATTCATGGATTTTTTCGTGCCTCTTTAACCCCCCTTCTTTATATCCACCGCCCCTTTGTCCACACGTGGTTTCCGTTGGTTGGACTACCCCTCTCACCTGGTCTATAGTAAGCGGTCTCTCCCACCAAAGCCTCCTTGTCTCCTAGCCTATCATAATCTTTGTATTTGCCCACTCAGCCGAACAACATTCTTCGCCCACAGCTCGTTTGTTCGCTTAATGAAGGCATAAACACCCCAAATTGGCGACGGTCGGTTATCCACGTCGGAATACAGTTTGAGGAGTGTCGCCACTGGGTGGAATCTGTGAGTTTTAGACGAAAACTACGATCAAATCATTCATGTTGCCCGTTTAAGTTCACATTTGTGATCATTTTGGTAATTCATTAATGTCTTAGTAACGCCATAAAACAGAGTTTGCCAGTTTGAGCCAGTATTTGATTGAATAGGTTCAGGGGATTGCAACGAGACGTTTTAGCTCATTGGTTTGAATCGCATTGTTTGTATTCTCCGATTCACCTCC